TCTTTAAGCACAATGTTTACCAAATTTAGGAATTGACAACTATCATTTCATTAACACCGAAGATGTCTTTACTTTCCAGTATCTTCAGTGATACAAAAAAATACAATTTACCTTGTGAGGATTTGATTTTCCAATTTCCTCTAGATCCAAAAACATATCCAAATCACATCCTAATTTCCCAAAACCGTTCACTGAAGAGCCAAAGGGTTTGATAACACAGTCAGGAAAATATGCAGCTGCTAAATCTTCAATAAGAGAACAGGTGAGGTATCGGAGCTTGGTGTTCTCCTCTGTGAGCTGGAATTCCTTCAAAAGTGTGTTCAGCTGATCATCTATCTAGCTGACCAAAACAAAAACCACAAAATATAGGAAATGTACAGGTCATACAATAATCTTACTTCTATAGATTTGATGGCTTTGGAGACCTACTCAAAGTATACTTTATTTTTCCTTCAGTCTTGGAAGATTTTTTTAATGCCCTTTTACAAAACAGTAAGGAATGATGACACTAGCAAAGTTAATAGTTTGGCTGGAATATAAATGATTCCTTTTCTTAAGCAGTGACTTCATAGTATTGTTTTAGGGAATGAAAACAGTAAAATACTCCAGAAGAAATGGTCAAAAGCAAACACAAAGCTAGACATTTTAAACTAATATTGGCAGATCCAATATTAAAGGCAAGAAACAATAGAAATAAGCAATGCTTCAGGTACTGAAGACCCAAGCTCCCTCAGTTCCTTAGCATGACAATGCTATATATTCATTAGGAAGACCAGTATATAGTATTTTGAAACTGTATACTGGAGTTGAGCGCTTAAAATAAAAACTTCAGTGATACAAAAAATATAATTTTTTATATTAAAACAATGGTTCTTATTGGAAAACAATACTGAAAATAAATGAACCATTCTATTAAAAAAATTTTTTTAAATAAGATGTAAGATTAGAAGCAAAGTTTAAAAAATTAGAAAAATCAAACCAAAAATAGTATTGTGATAAATAAAACTTTGAACTAACTTTTTGAAAGGACCACCAAATTAAGCTAAAAACCTGACAAAAATGAATAAGAAAAATTAAAACAAATATAAATAATACTGAGCAGAGACAACTTTTAAAACAAGTTATTTTAAAGTTTATAGGATGCCATGATCAATCATACATCACTGCGTTGACAATAGAAAGCAAACCTGAGTAGTCCAAAGCCAAGGTCCTCTCAAAGTAGAAGAATATATTTACTTCTGAGGTGGACAAATGGGGTGTGGGTGGGCGGATTAAGGAAGGATTCCTTTCATTTTTACCCAACATACTCTGTGACTTGAGGTTTTTATGACATACAGAAAAATGTCACACACACATACACATTATTGAAAGATGAGGAAGTACACCTATAAACTTACACTCTCTGCACAACGAAGTAATTCAAAAAGCTTCTTGCTTGAAGGAGGAGACTGATTACTGCATTGTATACTTGACTGTTCAATAGTCTGGCTTGAATTCTTCAACTTTAAATTGAAGAAACGTGATTTGAATGGAATTGTGGCCTCGGTGCCCACGCTTGGCGTTCGAGCTACATTCTGCAGTGAAGCTACACTTTCCTTTTGACAAAATTCTACAACTGCATAAAGACCCTGTGGCAAAAACATAAGAACATATTTCAAAGTGACATATTTAGCAGAATATTTTAGTTCCTATTTAAAGCAATTATCATTATTAATTTTTAAATTTAAAAATTATGGGTTTCAAACATAAGAATTGGTTTTAATCATTACAAGCAGATTAAAGTAAGAAGCACTATAAAGCAACATCAGTCAAGAAAATCTCCAAAGAATGCTGAACAAGAAAATTAAAGGCAAAACAGATTCACTCTCACTGGTCTTTATCTTTAAGATAACAGAACTATTTCCAGTATCCAAATAATGGAATCATGCAATTATTAATTGCTTCTAATTCTGTAATATTCATATAAGGATTTTTATTCTCATATTTAAAAAAAAACTGTTAAGAAATGAAGATAAGAAAAATGTAGGCTATCAAGAGAGAATCTAAAAGCAACAGAGCAAAAAGTAACTCATGGGGCCTTTATCCTTCAAAAAGTATGAAATTAAATTACTTTTAGAATACTTACAAAGCTTTCATAGAAGAAATGATTATTAATAGTTCCATGTTGGGATAAATATTTGAGAAACTTCTTTTCACTGATTTTATTGGGGCAATGAATTAAAACAGTCCTCTGTGCTTGTTCTTGCCTTTCTTTTTGCACCTCAGAGAATCTTTTTGAGGGAGTCCTGTCTTCAGAGCCTATGAATGATACAAAAACATTTTCAACACACACACAAAATGTAAAGCCTATTTTGGTAAGGTATGTAAAGATTTCATAGCTGATGAAAACCAACTTCAGCCTAATTCCACCTTTTCTTCTCTTCCGTATTAAAGGTGAAACACTTTTCATTTTTTAAAAAGATTTATTTATTTATGCATACAGCACTGGGGTACAGGCCAGAGGTGCAGGGTTGGTAAGAGGATTCACCAGAGACAGAGTTGGGGGCAGAACAGGCCAACTGATGAAGTACACGGGTGGGTCCAGAGAGATTTGCCACGTCATATGGGTCACATCATGGGGCGGAGATCGAACTCATGCTGAAGTGGCTTTAGCTTCTCAGTGCTGTGCTTTAACCCACTGTGCTACCAGGGAGGGCCTGAAACAATTTTCATTTTAACTTTCTCCTGTGGCTATCATAAAAATTTGTCCAGACTGTTTGATTTAACAAGTTCACTGAATAGTACTGAAGAGAGTTCAACCTTTGAGAAACAAAGCCAGGTAAGTAAATCACTTATTTTATATGCATATACAAAATACATGTAAACTATAACACTCCAAAGATCAAAAGAAATTATTACAAGCCTGAATGTATTGAGATGAACTCACAAGTTTAATGCACTAAAGTAAGTTACTATGGTTTTCTTCTGTCAAGGATCATAATCTGCCTCAAACAATTAACAAGGAGTTACCAACTATCATGCAGTCTATGTCACAAGGAAATAAAAAAATATAAAACTTAATTGATGCTCATAAAGAGCTCATGATAATTTTACTAAAGAAACAGAGTATTTTCCCCCCATTTAAAACTATTTCAGGGTTTGGGTTTTACAATCACAAGAAATTAAGACAAGGGCTGTGATAGTCAAATATTAACAATTAATAATCCACTAACCACCAAGAAAAAGGAAAATAAGTATATTGGGAAAAAGGACTCAAGTTCTAAGAACCAAACACCAAATCTTAGCAATTCATTTTTTTTTTAACCTCCAACTTTTTTTTTTAAAGATGTATTTATTTATTAGTACAGAACTGGGGTACAGGCCAGAGATGCAGAGGATGAGAGGATTCAACAGAGACAGAGTGGGGTACAGAACAGACAGATCGACGAAGTACACTGCTGAGGGGAGCAGCGGGCGGGTCAGGAGAGGTCTGCCACGCCATGTGATCTCCTCTGGGACAGGTTGGAATTGAACTCATGAGGAAGTGGCTTAAGCTTCTTTATGCTGTGCTTCAACCTGCTGCACCACCAGGGAGGGCCCAACCTCCAACATATTTAAATTCTAGCTGAGTGGCTTAAAAGTGTTCCTTCTAGAAGTCTGGGGATGTGGATACTAGAAATTATAAACCACCATGTCTGATATCAAACCCTCAACAAATTCCCAAGAGATTAATTACATTTTCTTTCAAAAAGTTACAAAGTTGATGGATAAAGGAAACACAGCAAACATGTTGTACTTTAATTGCAGCAAACTTCAAGGCATTCTAGTGAATAGGACAGAAAAATGTGGGTTAATAACACTAATCACTATTCATTAACATCAAGTCTAATTACTTACCAGAGAACTCCTGGCTCTGACCTACTCCGCATACCTAACAATTGATAAAACACTGAGTATCTTTCCTACACTAGTTGTACTTAAAAATACATCTCTTACCACATATCCTCACCTCCATTCCAGATACCAATATTTCAACATCAATCTGGTATTTCAGGCCTATATTACAGTGGTCTGATTCCTAAATAGGTCTCATTTACTCTAGTGTTGCCCTCCTCAAGCCACTCTCCACACTGTTGAGAAAGTGATCTTTATAAAATAATTCTACTCTAATATTTCTAATAAATAAGGAATTAATGGCTCCCCTGCACGAAACCTTTAATACCTATCTTATGGCATTCAAGATCAAGTCTAAACTACACAGCATGAGTATGGTTACTGGTACCTTGTCCCATCTTCTATCTTCAATGTCAACTTTTACAATTTCCTCCTTTCTCATAGTTCATTTATAGTCCTCTACATACACAATACTATCACATGAAGTAGGCACTTTCAAAGTTTTCTTTTCATTTTTCAATCTGGCAAAACACCATTTATCATTTCAATTTTGCTCAGGTCTGTGGAAACTTCTAACTCTCCACAGAAGAATTTTTTCCACATTTGTACTGCCTCACTTCATTACATATGAAAGAATGTAACTCATGGTAAGCATACACTAATATAAAATATAAGACTAAATGCTGGCCTACATTTAGAATTAAAAACATAAGGCAAAAGCACTTAACAGGGGGTGGCAGGTTAACATAAACAGCAGTATAAACAGGCCCAACAGTTTTGATGAAAACTCAAAATGAGTCAAAGAACTGTCTTAACTTCTGAGGTGAGGATAGGGAGAGAGAAGATATTATAAAATTTCTATTAAAACAAATGCTTTTAAAAATCAAAATACAAGAAGCATAACACTTTTGCACTATTGCCTATAATCTGGAATATATATGTATATGGGATATGAGGACAGTAGACATAATGGATATGAAAGGCTATTAACAGAAAGCCTAGAAACTCTAATAATTACTGGAGAGTTACAGCCTGGAAAAACACTAATGACATTTCAGTCTTCAAAAACAATAGAGAATCTTCCACTTGTGCAGCACCTTACACTTTTTCAAACATCTTCTCAAATTAACTCTCTTCTTAACCTCACAATAGCCTTTTGAAATAAGACAGGTATCGGTATCATCACTGATTTAAAAAAAAAAAACTGCACCAAGTCAGACACCTAATAATAAGCTGGCAGCCAAAGGTAGAACTTAAACTTTCTTTGTCTGCCTGGCATCAATTCCCCTTTGTTCTGGGAACAACACATAACTGCTAAAGAAAACCACTCAATAATATGGTTGTGGTGAGGTGGCTACTTATCCTAGTCACCACACTTAAGCCCCACTAGACACACACAATTTTGGATAGCTCCTCTTGTGTGTGATCAAGCAAAAGCTATTAATTAAGAGTTTTCCAATTCAGGCAACAGATTTTATTCTTCCCACTAGCAACAGATTTTATTCTTCCCACTAGAGAAGGCTACAAGCATGTGAACAAAAAGATGATGGTAGCTATGCCGCCCCCAACTAACACCCCATCCAGAAGAATCTGAGATAATGCACCAACAAATAAAAGCTGAAGAAAACAGTATCTCCCAATGAGCACATCCATCTAGTTGACCCTCCAGCAACTCTCCAGCAACTCTATCTCCTGGAGTTTGTTAATATGGGTGAGCATACCTTCCATCTAGGTTAGTTTCTATCACCTGTATCAAAAGCATCCAGAATAAACACTACCTATTCATAAATCAGCTCTTTCCATTACTCACATAAAAGCTATCCCAGTTCTCTATATAAAGTAAATAAATCTTAAGAAAAAAGAAAAAGCTATGTCAAAATACCATTACTTAAAATATAATACACACACACACACACACACACACACACAGGCCCTCCCTGGTGGAGCAGTAGGTTAAAGCACAGCACTAAGAAGCTGTGCTTTAAAGCCACTTCAGCATGAGTTCAATCCCTGGCCCATCCGAGAGGTGATCCACCTGGTTTGGCAGACCTCTCCTGTCTCACCAGCGGCTCCCCTCAGCAATGTACTGCTCCCCACTCTGTCTCTGGTGAATCCTCTCACCACCCTTGTACCTCTGGCCTGTACCTCAGATAAATAATAAATCTTTTTTAAAAATAGTACGTTCTTGCTCACTATAAACATTTTCCGCCATTATATAGTGAAGCCAAAAATGGAGTAGGCTTATTTAGGAAAAAGTCTATTTCTAGAAAATGTTACTAGATATGCCTTAGCACTGAGTTCTCATACTAAGGGGAAAACATGGATATTTCCCCAGTTCCTTCCAATTACAAAAGTATATATGCTTCTAACAGCACAAAGGTATACTTACCTTCTCTCTTTAAAAATGGAAAAGAAATTCAAGCATGGATTTTGCTGCTTGTTAAGCCACACAGTAGTCTCTATTTAGTCAGTAATCTTTCCCTAGTGATACAAAATGAAACATTTCCTAAGACACTAGCAGTAATAAATGAGTTGTATACCTTGGAATCTAAAGGTCTTATTCTCATCTTTGCTACTGAGCAGCTAAGGAAGTTTGAACTAATCACTTTGATTAGCCTGTTCTTATAAATGGAAGTTAAAGTAGTTCCTTCCATAATTGCTTTAGAGTTTTATTCTTCAAAGAGCATATACTGTCCAACTTACTCAAATTATCTGGGTTATTTGGGATTTTTTTTAACTGAGTGACTGTCACTAAATGTGACATGTCTCACTCCCTATTAATAAGTGCATGATATCAAAAATGTGTGGAGAAAGGGACTTTTATCATTTACATCTGGAAAAATACTTGTTTAGCCTACTGCAGAACTATTTCCAGAAATATTTTTATCTCTTAAAACTGAAACAGCAAGAAAGGGTAGAAATCAACACATTTTGTTGAATAGCTTGACCGGAGGTCTAAATTAGCTGTTAAGTCACATCGCACAAGTTTAGTTCTTAGGCCTCCTCCATCGACAACTTGTGCAAATGGAAATCAAATACTTGTGTTAACGGTGAACTAATGGGTACGTACCGATACAACTTCATTGTTGGGCACCTCGACCGTTCCCCCAAACAACGCCACACACCCCCGACACCGAAACCCAGCACCACCACGTAGCAACAGCGGCGGACTGGGTTCCCCCAGTGAGATCAAAGGAGGACGGCACACAGCCTCACCCTATTGCCAAGGTTGCAGGGCGCATCCACAGGCCACTCCTTGGCCCCCGATCCCAGTCTCTTCCCCCTTCCCTCGCCCGGAGCGGACCGAGGCTACAGAGCAAACCGAGGACAAGGCGCCATCACCTGTCTCCACGGTCCCCGAGGGCTGCTCTTCTCTACTGACGTCGGCGACCGCAGTTCCTGGGCAACAGAGAAATCTGTGCCTAGGTCGCTGGACATGGCCTCTCTGAGCACACAGGGGCAAACGGGTCAACAGCCCAATGCCACGAGCCGCCATTATCAAATTGTAAAAGCCGAAAAGAAAGGGCACCTGCTTTTCCGCGCATGCGTGCTGAGGCATAAGAATGGGAAGCCTAGAGGATCAAACTTAATGGCGTTCGTTTATTCTCCCACAGCTCTTAAAAGAGGAGCTTAGAATAGAATGAACAACAACCAACTCTTTCAGAGTTACAATGATAATCAGAGAGCAAGGTCGTGAGAAAAGAACATGAATTTATACTTGCTGGGAACATTTTCTCTTTACCATGTTCTTTCTATTTGATTTTTAATTCTTGCAAAGAAACTGTTAATATCATCTTTTTTTTTTTTCTTTAATGGAGACATTAAGTCCTGGAGAAGTTATTTAACGTTTCTAAAGTTACACAGCCCATCTGGAGCAGATATGAAAACTATACATAGGTTGTCTGGTATACAGGTTATTTTTTTTCTTGAAATAGCTTTGAGATTTAATTCACATGGCAAAAAAGTCATCCCTTTAAGCTGACCCACTGACCCAGATCAGTCTGTGGATTTTAGTGTATGCACAAAGTTATGCAGCAATCATCACAATAATTTTTAGGACTTTTTCGTTATTTCCATAAGAAAATGTGTGTCCATTAACTGTCAGTCCCGTCATTACACTACCTCTCAGTGCCCTACACAATCACTTAGCTATTTTCAATCTTTATGGAATTGCCTGTTATGGACAGATACATAAATAGAGTCATATAATAGGTGGCCTTTTGGTAACTGTTTTTTGACTTGATATAATGGCTCATTTTCCTGCATATTGTAGCAGCTAGTATTACTTCTTTCCTTTCTTTCTAAGTCCCAAATAATACTCCATTGTATGGATTTGCCACATGTGATTGTCCATTAGTTAAGGAGCATTTAGGTTGTGCTACCCTTCAATACTTGATATTCCTGTGAAAAGTCATGTACAAGTTTTTGTGTGAACATAAGTATTTACTTTTTGGATATTTACTTAGAACTGGAAGTACTAGGTCCTATGGTAATGATGCCATTTTTGGAGTTTGTGCAGGGGTCCTTGGGTGCACTCTGGGAAAGGTTTCACCAGGTTCCCCTTTCAGCAGCATGTGGTGACTTCCAGGCGAGTTTCTCTAGGACACAGAGACCTTAGTTATATTTAAAGAGCAGGTTTATTAGGGAAAAGGACAAACATAAAGGGCACTTGCATAGGCACAAGTGGGCAGGGAGAGCTCCGGAAAGGGACAGGCTTGCTGAGAGAGTCCTGCATAGTTGCAGGCTGCGTTCTTCAGAGAGCTGCCTCCACTGAGGAAAGTCAGTGAAGAGCAGTCCTGGCAGGGTACAGTTTATCATGGTCACAGGCAAGCAGGAGGTTGTTGCCCTGAAGAAAGAAAGAAACGGTGGGAAAAAGCAGGAGCAGTCACAGGTGCGCAGAGAACTGTTGCCTGGGACCAGTACTGCAATTGCACTGACATAGTCTTCTTCATTTGGGGAGGGGCTTCTTTCTTTGTGGAGTGGCCTGTTTGCTGCTGATTTTGGAGAACTATGGGAAATCCTAAAGGGACCAGAGATTTCACAACAGGCCCAATCTCTGTATATTTACCCTCAAGTCTGTGCTTCTTACACTCCCTCACAGCAGTCTGGTACAGCAGTTTGATACCTGTTTGAGTCTTAAGGCACTGGGTTAATGGTCATGTTGCCCTGTCTACCCTCACTCCTTGCATGAATCAAATTTCAATCTTGTGACGTCTTCTTCAGGTTTTCTATTCTTTTCCTCCATCAGTAATTCTGTATTTAACCTTTTATGGAAATCCTAGGATATTTTCCAAAGCAACTAAACCAGTTTAATTCATACACTGCTTTTGTATGAGGGTATCGATTTCTGCATATCCTAGCCAATACTTGTTTTTTTTTTTCTTTTAGTTTTCAAATAAAAACCCACCCTAATAGGTATGAGCAGTACCTTATGGAAATTTTTATTTGCATTTCTATGATGAATTTTAAGATCTCCTGTAATTATTTTGTGTATTTTCTTTGAGAGTGTCTATTCATATTCTCAGCTAATTTTTATTTTTTTGTCTCTTGTTGTTTTTATTTCTTTTATTGTTTTTAAAAGATCTTAATGTACTCTGCACATAAATCATTTATCATGTATGATTTGCAAATATTTTATCCCACTCTGTGTGTGGTACTTTTCTTTCTTGATGGTGGTCCATGAAGCAAAAGCTAACTTAACTTATTTTTTGAAATATTTATTTATTTATGCATACAAGAACCAGAGTACAGGCCAGTGGCATGGAGGATAAAAGAATTCACCAGAGACAGAGTAGGGAGCAGAACAGGCAGATGTTCTAAAACATACTGCTGAGGAGAACAGCAGGTGAGACAGGAGAGGTCTACCACACCATGTGGGTCACCTCCCTGGCCAGGGATCGAACTTGTGCTGCAGTGGCTGCGGATAGCTTCATAGTGCCACTAGAGAGGGCCCGAAAGACTAATTTTAATGAAATCAAATTTTCTCTGCTTTTCTTAAAATTTCTTCTGTTTTTAACCATCTAAGAAATGAATTGTGTAATTGAACATTATAAGTATTTACTCCCATGCTCTTGTTTTTAGCTTTTACTTTTAGGTCTACTGATCTGTTTTTAGATAGATTTTTGTATAGGGTGTGAGGTTGTGGATATTCAAATGTCCTAGCACTGTTTTTTGATGGGACTGTTTTTTTCCCCATGAATACTATTAGTTCATAATAGAAACCTGGATGTCCTTCTGAATTCTTAATTAAATTATTGCTCTGTGTGACTGTTCTTGCCGGTACCACACTGTCTAATTATTGTAACTTTGTAGTAAATTTTAAAATTGAGAAGTGTGAATTCTTTTTACCAAGATTGTTCTTTTTACCAAGATTGCTTTGGTAATTAAGGGTCTATCTATTTCAATATGAATTTTAGGGTCAGTTTACCAATTGCTGCCAAAAGGCAGCTGACTTATGATAGAATTGTAATGATACATCTGCAAATCAAAGAACATAAAATATTGCCATTATCACTGTTAGCAGATAACATGATAATATACATAGAGAATCTGAAAAACTCTGCAGAAAAACTTATCAAAATAATAAACCAGTTCAGTAAAGTAGCAGGATACAAAATCAACACACAATCACACAGAAGAAATTAAGAAAACCATTCCCTTTATAATTGAAACAAAAAATATCAAATACTTGGGAATAAACCTAACAAAAGAGGTGAAGGACTTCTCCAAAGAAAATTATTAAACATTGCTAAAAGAAATTGAAGAAGACACAAAGAAATGGAAAAAGATCTCTTGCTCATGGAAAAATTAACATCTTTAAAATGGCCCTCCCACCAAAAGCAATTTTAAGATTCAAAGCTATCCCTATAAAATGTCAGTGACTTTTTCAAATAGAAAAAATATTGATAAAATTAATATGGAACCACAAAAAAAAAACTTCAGAGAGCCAATGCTCTTCAGAATAAGAAGACTACCTCAAATTGAAGAGCTTTTGTCCAGCCAAGAAAGCACTACATAAAAAACAGACACCCCACTGACTGGGAGAAAATTTTCACATATTTACAAATGATAAAGGGCTGATCACAAAGATAAACAGAGCTGATTAAACTCAGCAAATATAAAGTGAACAAACCCATCAAAAAAATGGGCAGAAGAGCCACAAAGACACTTCTCCAAAAAGGAAATGCAGAGGGCCAACAAGCATATGAAAAAATGTTCAGCATCACTTGTAATAAGAGAAATGCAAATCAAAACCACAATGAGGTACCACCTCACACCAGTGAGAATAGCACATATTAAAAAACAAGCAACAATAAATGTTGTCAAGGGTGTGGAGCAAAAGGAACTCTCCTACACTGCTGGTGGGAATGCGAACTGTGCAATCACAATAGAAAGCTGTGTGGAGGTTTCTCAAACTGCTAAAAATGGAGCTTCTATATCATCGAGCAATTCCACTCCTAGTTATCTGCCCAAAGGATGTAAAAACAATAACTCAAAAGGACACCTGCACCCCTATGTGTGCTGCTACCCTGTTCACAATAGGGAAATGTGGAATCAACCTAAATGCCAAAAATAGATGCCTGGATCAAGAAGATTTGGTATATATACCCAATGGAATATTACTCAGCAATCAAAAAAGATAAACTCATGTCATTTGAGGCAGCATGATGGAACTGGAAAAGATCGTGCTTAGTGAAATAAGCCAGAAAAAGCAAGAAAAATACCGGATGGTTCCACTCATATCAGGAGTTAAGGGATCAGAAAAGGAAAAAAAAAAAATATATATATATAGAGAGAGAGAGAGAGAGAGAAATTGTATTAAAGTAAAAAAGAACAACTAACAACTATAATCCAGAGATATTCTACAGGGAAGGAGAAGGAAATAAGATCAAAACTGGGGGCCCTCCCTGGTGGAGCAATGGGTTAAAGCAAAGTACTGTAAGCAAGTTACAGCTGCTTACAATTCTGGCCCCAGAGATGACCCACATGGCACAGCAGACCTCTCCTGACAAGCCCACTGCTCCCCTCAGCAGTATACTTCACCCATCTGCCTGTTCTGCTCCCCACTCTGTCTCTGGTGAATCCTCTCACTGCTCCTGCACCTCTTGCCTGTACTCCAGTTCTGTATGAATAAATACATAAATCTTTTTAAAAAATCAAAATTGGGTGGCAAGAGCACTTGGGACTGTGGTGATGGCACATGGGTGAAGTGGTGTGGGAAATCCACAGGGATTACAACTGAGATGAAAAATGTACAAAATGAAGAATAATATAAAAAATGTATTTATAAAATAAAATAATAAATTTTTAAAAAAGCATTGCCAGCAAACATGAAACTAGAAAGAGAATGGGAAGAATTCCAATACAGGTGAGGGAACACAGACCAGCCAAAAACTTGATTTGGGATTTCTAAACTGTGAGACAATACATTTCTGTTTTTTGTTTTTTTAAGCTTTATTTGCTTATGCATACAGAACTGGGGTACAGGCCAGAGGT